GGACACCAGACTCAACTGGCACAACAAAATACATAAAAGCCTTATTCCGCATCCTACATTGGTGAGTAGCAACTGGGGTCTTAAAAGCTTTCAAGTGGCCATCTAAGATGCAGTAGCTAATGGTCTCCTAGCGTTGGAAGTGAAGAAGAGTGCAAAAAAACAAAGGCATTTGGAAGCAATCAGCCATAGGACACGATGGCCCTTGAGACCAGAAGAATTAGATGGTGCCTGGCTACCAATGCCAGCCACTCAGGAAAGGATCAATTTTGGAGATCCTAGATAGAGTGAGAGGAAAAATGTGGAACAAAATCCAAAAACTCAGTAATGACCAGAATTACTAGTCAGATGGAGTCTGATGAGACCCCCAATACTATAGCCCTGGAATACATTCTGTGCCTGGAATAAAACTCACTCCAAGGGGCTGGCTCTCAGCCCAGTAGTTATCAAGATGTACACTCAGACCACTCAACCCAGGATGATGCACCCACATATCCTATGGTAATACATCCTTCAGAGCAGTAGACCACGGGGCACCAGAGGGCCAGCATTCACACTGAGAAAATGCAGAACAAACAGGAGTGCATAACTGAAGGGCACAGGGGGAGGGTTAATGGGCAGGGAGGGGAAGAGACTGGGTTAAGGTTGGGCATGGTAAATGGGGAGTGAAACTAAATGTACATGTAACGTTGAATGTAAACAAACTCTTAAATAAAGTATAATAATGGAATGAGAATACTGGGGAAATGACAGATTACAAAAGCATTTGAGCTACATTCATACATTCATTCAATATATATTAAAGAATGTTTGTGCCAGACTTTGTGCTATATACCAGGGATATAAGATGAATGATGTAATTCCTACCCTAAAGGAGCTCATTTTTGCTAATGAAGAGAGTTGTAATTTAGCGCAGTCTTATAATTGGCAGTGTTAACGCTATTGGAGATACCCAATCACTCACTTGGCAAAGGACATTCCAAGCTAAGTACATTTAGATTTCTTTTGCCTCTGAGATATTCTATACTCCTATAACTGTACTTTCTAAGATTCAAGGAATGCTATCGACTATATTTTGATAGTATCCTGATGTTGAAACCAATGATGAAGAACTGAAGAAGGCTTCAGGAATCTCTCTGTAGATTAAACTGATCAAGTATCCAAGTAGAAAAAGGGCTTATGTGAAATTGAGTGTCTACTTTTACCTTCTTAGGTTACCATATTTGTTCACATGTTCCTTTATTTGATAAATTCTGTGTTTGTCTACCCTTTTCAGAATAAATTATTTGCTATTGATCCTTCACATGCACACACGTACACACCTCATCCAGAAGTAGCCACTGCTGAATTGGTCATCACATATTGGAGAAATAAATGCATGCTGTATAACTAGATTGGGTGGTATGGTGTGTTTTTCTAAAATATCAGACCGAACTCTTCAGAATCTAAATCTTTAAATAATAAGCAAAACTTAGTCATTCTTCACAGATTCAGTGTTGTGATGTTGAAGGCTTAATTAGCCACAGAAATGCTAGGTGGTGGTAAGACACCAATTATATAATCATAATAAAAAGCAGTCTACAGAATGAAATCATACATAAGTAAACAAAGAAGCTCTTGTGATTATCATGGAAATCATGAAGTTCCCTATTTACTTTTGTAAGCACATCTTTATAATTTATAATGATGACAGTGGGTTTCAAGCTTCTTTATAAAGACCCTATATATCGTTAATCATGTGACCAAATGTGCAATTAACATTTATGGAGCACTTGCCAGGCAGTAGGTAACTTATTTACTTCTCACAAGACTTTTGAGTTGTGGTGGTGTTCGCTGCTGTCAAGTTCATCTCTGACTCACGGCAGTCCCTGTGTCCAATGAAATGAAATGCTGCCTGGTCCTGCATCATTTCCCATGATCAGTTACTGATCAGACCGTTGTAACACATAGGGCTTTTATTGGCTCATTTTTCTGAAGTGGATTATCAGGTTTTTTTCCCTAGTTTGTCTTAGTCTGGAAGCTGTGCAGAAACTTGTTGACATTATAGCAACACTGAAGTCCCCATTGACAGACAGGTGCTAGCTGTGCATAAGGTGCACTGGCCAGGAATTGAATCCAAGTCTCTCACATAGAAAGCAAAAATTCTGCTACTGAACTGCCAGTGTCCCCATTCTAAGTTGTAGCTACCTTTATTAGCTGCATTTTCTAGATGAAGAAACTAAGGCCCAAGGCAAAACAACTAGTAAATTGCCCTGTGTTAGTGCTAGTTCAGAGGTGAACAAAGTGGGTATAGTTTCTTCTGCCTTCATGGGTTTTTTAGACTAGAGTCAGAACTTTTGAATTACTGTTGTGTCATCTCAAGATTAACCTAGATTATGTCCATCCAGGCTTAAACATTAGCTGTAGCCTTGTCTAAATCTCCTCTTGATTATTTTTTGTTTGTTTGTTTGTTTGTTTTTAACTGTGATTTGGGTGAAAGTTTACAGAGCAAATTCATTTCCCGTTCAACAGTTCATACACATTTTGTTTTATGACTTTGATTGCAATCTCCACAATGTAACAGCTATCTTCCCATTTCTTCCCAGTTGTTACCTTTTCCTTGTGTCTTTCTTTCCTGTGTATTCATGCCTCTGAACTATCTCCCTGTGCAAATCCTGCCCTTCTTATCTCCCATGATTGATTATTCTAAGGAATATACCTGTTGTTGTTACGTGCCATCGAGTCAGACCTAACACATAGCAACCCCTCCTTGGGTTTCTGAGGTGGTATCACTATAGAAATAGATTGCTCAACCTTCTTTCCAAGGAGTGGCTGTTGGGTTTGAACTGCCAGCCTTCTGGTTCACAATCAAGTGCCTTAGGCACTATACTACCAGAGCTCCTGGGAATATACCTACCTGGTGTAAATGTTCATCTTATACATCTTTCTTTCTGTTTGCGTGAAAGCCATGGGAGTGAGTTCAGTTCCAGGCCCAAAAGGTGATTAGGGGCCATAGTCTCAGGTTTCACCAGTCTATGTTAGAGCAGTAAGCCTGGCATTTTTTATGACCTTGAAATTTGTTCCACATTTTTCTCCCAGGATCTCCTATTTTGATTCCTTTCTGAGTGGTTGGGAGTGGTAGTCAGCCACCATCTAGTTCTTTTGGTCTCAGGGGCATGTAAGCTGAGGTTCGCATGGTCCACTAGTCCCTTGAACTATTTACTTCCATGTATCTTTGATTTTCTTCACTTTTCTTCACTCTAGATGAGTAGAAACCAGTTGTTGCATCCTAAATGGCTGTTTGCAAGCTTTTAAGATCCTAGTCACTACTCACCAAAGTAGATTGTTCAACTGTTTTTGTGTAGTATGTTACACCAGTTGAGTTTGATGCCTCTTAACTGATTTTTGTTTTGCCAGATTGTTCATGCAAGGTTCCTTAATACAGTTTGCCATTAGTTTTTCTAGAATAATTTGTTAACCATCAAAATGTTAGGTCTTTCCTATGACTATCTGTTATGCAATTGGCAGTGCTTCCTGAGGCTGCGCCAAAGACTCAGAAATAGTGTTTTCCAGGACAATTGTGGTTATGGTTGTCTCCACTTATTAGTATGATGTTGTTAGGTTCCATCAAGTCATTTTTTTACTCATAACGACCCCATGTGACAGAATATCTGCCTCATAGGGTTTTCTGGGCTTTAATCTTTATGGATACAGTTTGCCAGGTCTTTCTTCAGTGGAACCACTGGGTAGGTTCAAACCACTAACGTCTCAGCAGCCAGCCATTTAACCATTGTACCACCCAGATAGGATACAGATATCCTCTTTGTTCCCTTAACTATTCTCTTATGTTTCTTTTGTTCCCTTCTTAAAGTCCTATCTGGTTTCTGTCCTATTATTATCCATGTCCTCTTTGCCAACTGAAGACTCCAACACTTGTCTAATTTATACACATTAGTACTCTGGACTCTGATGTATTTTTTTTCCTCTCTTCTGTATACCAAGAATTTCATATGTAATGTCACACAGCCCTGAGGTGCAGTGGTATTCTTCTACACATGAAGAAACTAAGGCCTAAGGAAGTTAACTAACTTGTCCCATGTCATTTAGCTAATAAGTGGTAGAGCCAGGATTTAAACCTAGATAATCACTGTTCTTTCCAGTTCAGCAAAGTATTTTGTCCATCTGCAAAAAGGTTGGAAAGATTACATGAGAATAAATGTGAAAAGTACTTGTAAATCATAAAGCAGTTTATGGAAGTCGATTATTCAGCTTTTCATAAACTTGTTAAGATAGTGCTCACTTACTTTAGGAGTCCATAGTCTAGCTGCTTTTTTCCTATAAATCACATTTTGAGCCTTTCTTTAAATATGTAGTCAAAGAGTCAAGCTTAGAGTGTCCATAATTTGGTATGTAAATGAGATTGCATCTTAGTTTTGTAAGACATCAGCTTCATCTGGGCTACAGGATAAACATCAGCCATTTTTCTCTATAACCTAGCCCTTTCCTGTTGCCAGTCTTCCCTCTGCTACTAATAGTCAGTCTGCTTACTAACTATTGAGACAACCACCAAGCTGTTTACAGTCTTCAAGAACTCAGATATGGGATTGCATTTAGTATATGCTCCTTGCAGAGTAGAGCTTTTAGTCCAGTCCAGCCACCCAAATCCATGGAGCTTAGTGACCTGGTTGGTAGTTGCAACTGGCAGGGATATGAAAGTAATCTGGCAGTGAAGTAAGTAATAAGAGAAGAAAGGGAAACTGGAAAGAGGGCTCAGAGAGAGAGTAATAAGAGATGAAAGAATTACATTCGAGGGAATGAAAGGTGAGTATAGGTAGGGTTTAAATACAACTAAAGTAATGAGATATGAAAATTAATAAAACAATACTTTTATGGCTTTTAAGTTTCTGGTCTTTTGATATTCTGATTACTAAATGATGTCTAGTATTGTATGGAGTTGAGGAGAATTAAAATTGCAATAACTAAATGGACAGTGTTTTTAAAGTTTTCCTTAGCAGGTTCTGCACAGACTCATTAGATAGTGTCTTGTTTTTAAAAAAGATTAACACATGCTGGCAAGATCATTGCAGACAAATGGTAAGCTTATTAATTTTTTCATTAATACTGGTTGTATATATGGGACAATCACTCCCTGAATTTTAATCGATACTGCTATTATTTCTATTCTTACTTAAGTATCTCGTCTTTGTCTTATTAAAGTATAGCTAGACAGGAAGGAGATTAAAATAGCCAGAAGTATGTATTCTCTTAATTCATCTGTCAGGTTTTTGTTTGTTTGTTTTGTTTTGTTTTTTAATCAAAACATATTTGCATCCATCTTCCCTTGCCTACCTTTGGCCAGATGTGAGCTGAGACATGGAATTTCTGTTCAGCATTCTATTATAAATCAAATGCAGTCATCTAACTCTGATAGAGTTAAACAGCAAAGTATCAAGCAAAGCAGGGAAGGTGAATTCCTTTGCTTGCTGTTCCTGAGTAAGGCTGGCTAATCACTTGGCTTTCAAACCAATCAGGGAGTTGACAGGGTGACAGTGAAGCACAAACTTTATCTGAGAGTGTCTATAAATTCTGGAATAGGTCTCTCCAAATTGTTCCTAATCCTAGTTACTCCTGATAATCAAGTCTGAACTTGAAAGCCTTAACTATAAAGTCTTGGACTTTATAGATGTATTGATTATAATTTGATTTTATGTATACAGAGTTTTAGTGCAGTCTGGCAGTTAATTACAAGTGAGAGAAAAGGTGTAGCTTTCCTAAAACCAAAAAAAAAAAAACCAAATTCACTGCCATTGAGTTGATTCTGACTCATAGCAACCCTCCTTGGGTTTCCAAGGTGGTATCTCTATGGAAGTAGATTGCCCAGTCTTCCTTCTGAGGAGTGGCTGGTGAGTTTGAACTGCCCGTCTTCTACACCACCAGAACTCCTAACTTTCCTAAGTAGGTTACATTATTTTGTTTTATAAATGAGGCAAGTAGGAGACAGTGAATGTGAGCTTGGTGTAGATACTGGAAAGAGATAAATACGTCTTTGTGATCCAGTTATTGAATATCTTGTTGGGAAGATTTTGTTTACATGTATAAGCAGATCTATTCAGTAAGGTGTAATAAGTTCAATGATGGAAATATTACAAGGTTACAGGGTACTGTGGTAGCATGATGAAAAGAGCAACTTTATTCCTCACTATTTAATACAAATACAGATAACCTTGCAAAATACAGTCAAGTATATTTAAATGGCCAAGAATCTCACAATAATGTAACAGGAACTGATTTTTAAAGAGTTTAAAGCACCACCAATCTAAGATATACCACATCAGTCAGGAAATAGCCAAAATTAAAAAGATGTACTTTCAGCTAAATGCTTTAAAATCTCTAAAGTCAGGGTTGCTGGATAAAAAAGATGATAAAAAAGTATAAGTATAGCAAGGGGAAAGATTAAATTTTAAAAATTATCACAGATGAGGGCCTTGGTGGGCAGCATCTTTGCATCAAGAGACAGGTATAAGTATAGTTAGATTTGACATGACTAGCATAGTTATCGTCAAAAGGTCTAATCTTAAATATTTGTTTTAAAAATATGTATAAACTTGTTTTCTTCTCTAATTTATAGATCATGATTAGAAGTATTTTCTTGTTTTTGGATCGCACTTATGTACTTCAAAATTCCATGCTTCCTTCTATATGGTGAGTGTTCCTAGTCTAGTATCACTGTATCTGCTACGGCAACTAAAAGTTTAAATGTGATCTGTATCTTCAGCTGGGTAATTTGATAAAATGTATATATACATTTGTCTCTGTCTTTTATTTTTTCTTGTGTTTTATGCCAGGCACAATCATTAATGAAAATGTTTGAGTCCAAGATAGATCTCTTAGACATGAAGTGCCCATGTTTCCAGTTAACCTGTAAGGGATAAAGGGGTAGAGCTCAGGAAATAGCAAGTTCTCTTACATTTTCCAATTTACATTGAGTTTCATAGCTAAGAAATTGAGGGGAGGGGGCTCCTGAGAAGTCCCAAACTCTGAAGCAGTCAGAATTATTCTGTGAGTCCACATTTCTTTAACTAGTGATGGCATTCAGCAGCAACAGTACATTTCAGAATAATCTGGAGTTAATGTCACACTGGTCACTTCTACTGTTAAGGGACTGAGGAACTGATTTACTCTACTCTGAGAAAGTCTACTAGCTGTTCATGAAACCACTGTTCTAAGTGCTTTAACATCTGCTGATTTACTTAATCCTCAGAACAGCTCTATAAAGGAGAACAGTTACGGTCCCTACTTAATAGGTGAAGAAACTGAGCCACAGAGAAGTTAAATAACTTTCTCTACCCCACAGCTGACAAGTGGCAGAGCTAAAATTGCTATGTAGACTGTAAAATCTCAGCTCTTAATCTATAAGCATAGTTGATAGCATAAGTGTCATGCAAACTACAAATGTTTATAGCATAAATAAGTTATACTGCCTCTAAATTTGTGTTAAAATGACAGTAGTATAATAAGAATCATGATTAAAATATGTGTGAGAAATGCACAGTAAATAAGCCCTTAACTCATCTCTGAGACAAAGGTGAGAAGTGGAAGAGGAGGAAGGAGTGAGGTTGAACTTTGTCTTCTTTTTTTTTTTTCTTGCCATTTTCATTTTGGGGTGCTCCCTGTTTGAGACCAGTTTTCTTAATAAAACTTTTCAGCTCTAGATGAGTCATTGATCAGATTTTTCTTTCAATAGGCTTATTTAAGCTATGTCTGGATGAAAATTTTTACAAAGAATAAAAATGAGAAAATCAGTTTTAAGTTTTACTCTCAATAGGCCCAGTAGCTAGGGGAAGACTAAAAAAAAGAAAGTGAGCTCTGAGTTTCCTTTGGAGAGGGTGACAGTTGCTATTCCATACCCTTTCTTCTGATTAGGGGCTGCAGACTCCAAATATGATGGAACTAGGCAGGTCACAGCTATCACTAAAGATGGTGGTGGGTAGGTAGGTGAACTTCTGAAGGAGCAACTTTGATGTAGGCCACAGGGTGTTGCCTAATCTTCTGTTGTTTGTTTGTTTTTTATTTATTTTTTGTTGTCGAGAATTGACCTAAGTTTTGAAGAATTAACAATAGTAGTAGGTAGATGGTGAAAAAGAAAAGAAGGATATAGAGAAAAGAAAACAAGTTCAAATGCAAGTATCACCTACTGTGGAAAATATAAGGACTACAATATGACTAGAGTATGTCCTCTTTGTGGGGAGAGTTGAAAGAAATGAAGCTGATGACAAACCCTGATGACTTTTGGTGGGAAGCCACTGAAAGGTTTTAAACTGAAAGTGACATGATGAGATTTATATTCTAGAAATATCATTCTTACAGCATTAATAAAGGGTATATTATATATAGCAAAGTAGGGTTTCAGTTGCCTAAGCAAGAACTGAGACATTTTCGGTAAATATGAAGAAAAGAATATTTAAAACTTACTCATATAGAGGTGAGGAGTCTTGGTGTACAAGTAAATGTAAAACTTGAGGGAGTAAGAGTCTAGGTTTACTCCTACATTTTTTAATTTGATTTCTGATTGGATGATAGTAGTGTTCATAGAAATAGAACATATTGGAAGATGCAGGGTATATTTGGGAAAGAAGAAAATAAATTGAGTTTGAGATACCCAGAAGAGAGATCTGGACTAAAGAGAGAGGGACAGATGTGAGAGTCATCAGAATTGTATTCCTGGGTGTAGAAGGAGTCACTTAGAAGTGTATGGATAGTAGTGATTTTCAACTTGCCAGTATGGCCCCTAGGAGCATTTGGAAGTTGGTAGGAGAGTTTTTTTTGGTTGCCATGTTGATTGAAGGAAACGACTAGTATTTGGAATCTAGGGCCAGGAATGTTAAATGTCCTACAATATATGATGATAAAGAACTGCTTTGCTCCAAATACCAATAATATTGAAAAACAATGATAAAGACTGAAAAAGAGAAGAGAGCAAAATTAATTCTTGTGGGGCACAGTACATACAGGGCAGGCTGGGCAGCCCCTGAGAAATACTAAAAAGTAACAGTGAGAAAAGTGAAAGGAAAGGGTAGAGAACTGTAATTAAAAGGAGGGGAGTATTTTAAGAAGGGAATGGTCACATATGTCAGATAAGACAGATTTCAGGTAGGAAATGCCTCAGAAGGATCCTTTGGATTATAGAACTAAGAAATTTTTAAGGACACTGATAAGGTACTAGAATAGAATGAGAGGGAGAACAGGAGTGGAAGGAAGTTAGGGGATTAAGATAGGGTTTTGTGTTTGTTTATTTCAGGTGAGAGACTTCTTTATGTTTAGAGGAGGAAAAGCCTCCTGGAGAAGGAGAGATCAAAGATACCCATGCAAGGGAATAATTGGTGGAGGGAGGGTTTTGACCAGGTGAGAGAAGAGGCAATTATAATCACAAGTGAAGGAAAAATGGGAGAGATTGCAGGACACTAAGGGAATTTTCACATGATGATTTTTTTTTTTTCCATTTGTGAATGAGGAAGTGCTAGGTAGGGAACCTTGAGGAAAGATGTAAAGATGGGCATGAGGACAATGGGAAGGAGTATAGACCAGGCACATGTAGGACTACCCTGCAGCAGTGAGATTCCTACAGAAATTGGAACCATGGTCTACATAGTTGTACAGTATTCTTCAGCAGCACCCTGAACAAAGAAGGAAAAAGTCAGGTGATGGATTTAGGAGCACTGGTGGCATGAACAGTTACGCACTCAGCTGCTAACTAAAAGGTTGGTAATTGGAACACTCCCATCAGCTCCACAGAAAAAAGACCTGGTGCTCTGCTTCTGTTAGGTGCCATCAAGTCAGTTTCGACTCACAGCAACCCTGTGTACAACATGATGAAACACTGCCTGGCCTGCGCCATCGTCACAGTCATTGCGTTTGAACCCATCATTGCAGCCACTGTGTCAATCCATCTCATTGAGGGTCTTCCCCTTTTTTGTAAGCATGATATCCTTCTCCAGGGAAGGGTCTGTCTTGATAACATGACCAAAATACCTGATGTGAAATGTGGCCATTCTCACTTCTAAGGAGCATTTGGGCTGTATTTCCAAAAGTTATTTGTTCATTCTTCTAGCAATCCATAGTATATTCAGTATTCTTCACCAATACCACAGTTCAAATGCATCAGTTCCTCTGTAGTCTTCCTTACTCATCACTCAGCTTTCATATGAATATGAGGCTATTGAAAATACCACAGCTTGGGTCAGGTGCACCTTAGTCTTCAGAGTGACATCTTTGCTCTTAAACACTTGAAAGAGGTCATCTGTAGCAGATTTGCCCAATACATACGTTTGATCTTTTGACCGTTGCTTCCATGGACATTGATTGTGCATCCAAGTAAAATGAAAACCTTAATGATTTCAGTCTTTTTTCCATTTATCATGAGGGTCCAGTTGTGAGGATTTTTTTTTCTTTATGTTGAAATGTAATCCATACTGAAGGCTATAGTCTTTTATGTTCATCAATAAGTGCTTCAAATATTCTTTGTTTTCAGCAAGCAAAGTTGTGTCATGTGCATATTTCAGGTTGTTAATAAGTCTTCCTCCAAACTGAATGCCACATTTTTTTTATAGTCCAGCTTCTCAGATTACTTGCACAACATACAGATTGAATAAGTATGGATGCAGCACATCTTTCTTGATTTTAAACCATGTAGTATCCCCTTGTTCCATTCAAACAACTGCCTCTTGGTCTATGTAAAAGTTCTTCATGAGCACAATTAAGTATTCTGGAATTCCCATTCTTTGCAATGTTATCCATAATTTGTTATGATCCATACAGTCAAATGCCTTTGCATAGCCAACAAAACACAGGTCAATATCTTTCTGGTATTCTTTGCTCTTAACTACGATCCATCTGACATCAGGAATATTCCTTGTTTCACATCCTCTTCTGAATCTGATTTGAATTTCTAGCAGTTCCCTGTCAATGTACTGTTATGACTGTTTTTTTATTATTTTCAGCCGAATTTTACTTGAGTATGATATTAATGATACTATTCGATAATTTCTGCATTCTGTTGGATCACCTTTCTTTGGAATAGGGACAGGTATGGATATCTTCCAGTTGGTTGTCCAGGTAGCTATGTTCCAAATTTCTTGGTATAAACAAGTGAGTGCCTCCAGCACTGCATCCATTTGTTGAAATGTCTCAGTGGATATTCCATCAGTTCTTGAACCCTTGTTCTACACTAACTCATTCAGTGCCTCTTGGACTTTTTTATTCAGTACCTTTGGTACTTGATCATATGTTCCCTCCTGAAATGGTTGAACATCGACCAATTCTTTTTGGTACAGTGGCTCTGTATATTCCTTCCATCTTCTTTTGATGCTTCCTATGTCATTCAGTATTTTTGCTCATAAACCCACTACCATCAAGTCATTTCCAACTTATGGTGCCCCCATTGGGTTTCCAAGGATGTAAATCCTTATGGAAGTAGATTGCTTCATCTTCCTCTCATGGAGAAGCTGGTGGGTTTGAACTGCTGACCTTCTGTTTAGCAACCAAATGCCTTACCCACTATGCCACCAGAGTACCTTATTTTGCTTGTAGAATCCTTCAGTAATGCAACTTAAGGCTTGGATTTTTCCTTCATTTCTTTCAGCTTGAAAAATGCCAAGCATATTCTTCCTCTTTGATTTTCCAACTGCAAGTCTTTGCACATTTCATTATAATTCTGTCTTGGTTCTCTCCTGTTGCTATAATATGCATACCACAAGTGGATGGCTTTAAGAAACAAGAATTTATTCTGTTACAGTTTAGGAGACTAAAAGTCTGAATTCAGAGTGCCAGTTCTAGCGGCTGAGTGAAGGTCCTTTGACCTTGGACTCAGCCTCTAGTTCCTGACCCACTGGAGCTGTGGGCAGTTCCTAATTGAGACAGCTAAGGCACCTCAGGCTGCTGAGGCTGATGAACCCAAGGTTGGCAGGTAAAATGGCATAATCCTAAGATAACAGGCAACATTCCAGAGTACTACTGATTCAGGTCTAGGAACAATCCCAAGATCAGCAGGCAGTGTGGAAGGCCACTGGTCAAGTCCAGGAACTGGAGATGAAGACTCAGCCAAATATAGGATCCAAATGTGCCAAAAATCTAGAGACCTTTCTCAAAGCTTCCCCATAAATACTGGAAGCAGGCCACACCCTGAAAGAACTAATTAGTTGCTCATAGCACATTCCACCATGCAGTTGATTACACCACATCCAGTGTCATCATGGGTAATAACTGTATCCAGCTGCCAAGCTGTTCAAAGTCATGGCCCAACCAAGCTGACACACAGCCTTAACCATCACAGATATTTTACTTTGTCCTCTTGAGCTACCCTTTGAAATCTTCTGTTCAGCTCTTTTCCTTCATCATTTCTTCCATTTGCTTTAGCTACTTACCATTCGAGAGTAAGTTTCAGAGTCTCCTCTGACATCCATTTTGGTCTTTTCTTTCTGTCTTGTCTTTGTAATGACCTTTTGCTTTCTTCATGTATGATGTCCTTGATGTCATCCCGCAACTCATCTGGTTTTTGGTCACTGGTGTTCACTGCATAAGATCTGTTCTTCAGATGGTCTCTAAATTCAGGTATGATTGAGGTCTCTAGTGCCTAAGGCATCTGACTGCTAACCAGAAGGCTGACAGCTCAAACCCACCAGGCACTCCTTGGAAGAAAGATAGGGCAATCTACTTCCATAGTGATACTGCCTTGGAAACCCATGGAGGGGTTGCTGTGCGTCGCATCCGACTCATGGCAGTGAGTTTGATTTTTTGGTTTTTTGTTTTGGCTCTTGTGGACTTGTTTTAATTTTTTTCAACTAAAACTTAAATTTGAAAATGAGCAATTGATAGTCTGTTCCACAGTAAGTCCCTGGCCTTGTTCTGACTGATTATATTGAGCGTCTACATCATCTCTTTCCACAGATATAGTTGATTTGATTCCTGTGTATTCTGTCTGTAAAATCTCCCATTTATGTTGTTGCAAAAAGGTATTTGCAATGAATAAGTCGTTGGTCTTAGAAAATTCTATCATACGAACCCTGGCATCATTTCTGTCACCAAGGCCATATTTTCCAACCACTAATCCTTCTTTGTTTCTAACTTTCACATTCCAATCACCAGTAATTATGCATCTTGGTAGCATGTTTGGTTAATTTCAGACAGCGTAAGTTGGTAAAAATTCTCAATTTCTTCATCTTTGGCTTTAGTAGTTGGTGCATAAATTTGAATAATAATAGTATTAAGTGGTCTTCCTTGTAGGCATATGGATATTATCCTATCACTGACAGCATAGTACTTCAGGATAAATCTTGAAATGTTCTTTTTATCAACGAACGTAACACCTTTCCTCTTTACTTTGTCATTCCCAGTGTAGTAGACAATGTGTTTGTCTGATTCAGAATGGCCAGTACCAGTCCATTTCAGCTCATTGATGCTTAGAATATCAGTTTTTATTCATTACATTTCGTTTTTGACAACTTCAAACTTTTTTAGATTATGTACTTCATACATTCCACTTTCTGATTATTAATGGATGTTTGTAGCTGTTTCTTCTCATTTTGAGTCATGCTCCATCAGCAAATGAAAGTTCTAAAAGTTTTATTCCATTCATGTCACTTAGGTTGCCTCTACTTTGAGGAGGCTGTTCTTCCTAGTCTTGTTTTGAGTGCCTTCCAACCTGAGAGGATTATTTTCCAGCACTGTATCAGACAGTGTTTCACTGCTATTCATAAGGTTTTCAGTGACAATATTTTCAGAAGTAGACCACTCTTCTTTCTTCCTAGTCTGTCTTAGTCTGGAAGCTCCACTGAAACTTAGGTACCCTGAGTGCCCTGCTAGTATTTGAAATACCGAAAGCATAGGTTCCAGCATCACAGCAACATGCAGGCCACCACAGCATGATGGACTGACAGATGAGTGGTAGCTAGAAAGATTACAGCTAAAAAAAACCCTACGGGGCAGTTCTGCTCTGTCACATGGGGTAACAATGAGTCAAAACCAACTCGACAGCACCTAATAACAACAACGAAAGGCTTTGCTGGGTAAGTTTAGTAGTTTGTGGCAGGACAAGAAAATAGGACAGTTGAGGAGGGTATCGGTGTGAAAATGATGAAAGTGATGGATCATGTGTAAACTGTAGGTAGGTATGAATGGAAGTGAGGCCAGGTAGACTGAGATGTTGGTAAAAATTACAGAGGTCAATGAACTGAATGTATTAATGCGGTGGTTTTTGTTAGCTGCCATTGAATCGGACCCCAACTCATAGCAACCCCTTGCACAATGGATTGGACCGTTTTGCTCCATAGGGTTCTTGAGGGCTGATTATTTCACCGGTAGATCAATGAGTCTTTCTTTTGAGCCCATCATAGCCCAGAAGCTCCACTGAAATCTGTTCAGTATCATAGCAACATGCAATCCTCCACTGACACATGAAAGGTGGCTGCACTAGAGGTGCACTGACTGAGAATCAAACCTGGACCTTTCTTAAGAAAGGGGAGAATTCTATTACTGAAGATCACTGCTCCCTCTTCTTAATGGGGTAGAATAGTAATAATAAACATTTACTAAGCACTGATTATACACCTGGCACTGTTTTGAAATGTTTTACAAGTCTAAATGCATCTAATCCCCCTGGAACAAAATTTAAAAACATAAAAAAAGACCAGGTTTATTGGTCAGATAGAGACTGGTAAAACCCCAAGACTATGGCCCCTAGTCACTCTTCAGGCCCAGAATTGAACTCACTCTTGAGGCATAACTCTCAACCAAACCATAGACAAGCCTAGAAGCCAAATAGCTACACCAGGGAGATGCACTCCTTAAAACAATCAACCACTTGAAATCAGAAGGGTAGCATTTGCACAGGGAGAAAGGTAAGGAGGCAGGAATGCATAGGCAAGAAGGACACAGGGAAAGGGTAGCCACAGGGAGGAAGTGTAAGGAAAGCTGTTACACTGCAGGGAATGTAGCCATTGTCACAAAACAGAACATGTATGAACTGTTGATTGTAAAACGAATCTGCTTTGTAAAGTAAGTTTTACCCAAATCACAATAAAATGTTAAATAAAAATATATTTAATGCTCACTTTACAGGTTTACATTAATCTATTGATAATCCCCATTTTGTAGGTAAAGAGGCACAGAGGTTCCTTGCCCAAGGTCATATAACAAGCAAGTAGTAAAGCCAGGATTCAAACCCAGGCAGTCTGGCTCTTAGAACCTGCATGTTTAACCACCATAGTTTATTGCCTCCATATTGTGATTTATAGATTATATTTGAAGTATATGGAAGCTCATACATTTGGCATGTTCAAGGAACATAGAAATGTTTATTATGGTTTCAGTGTACAGTTTATGGGAGAAGTGGCTAGAAATCTGCCTTTTGAGAAGTTAGATTTTAACTATAGACTTCCAAGAACCCTATATGCAGCCTACCTACCTCTCAGGCACTACTGTCCCCTCCCCATTCCACCATGCCCCTAAAATGCCAATTCAGCATTTCTGATAAAAAGGAAAGAAAAAAGAAACTCTCTGCCATCGAGTCAATCCCGACTCATAGCGACCCTTCTGTGGGTTTCTGAGAGGGCATCTCCATAGAACTAGAATGCCCAATCTTCCATCTGAGGAGTGGTTGGTGGGTTTGAACTGCCAGCCTTCTGGTTAGCAGTTAGATGCCTTAGGCACTACACCACCAGAGCATATGCCCATGTATTTTTTATCCAGCCCCCTCCCCTTCAATAGAGTTAGGCAATGAGGGAACCTGCAGAAGTTTTCAAGCACAACATAGAGTAACATCACAGCACACAGTGACTTTTTTTTTTTTTTTCAGGAAGCTGAATTACCTTCCTAAATTAAAAGATTGGTTTTTGTTTGTTTGTTTGTTTTATTTTGGTAATGACTTAAGGAAGTATAATGAACTCTTACAGTCACATTTCAAATTATTTTCTCCAGTGGAAAGGACAAATATAGGAGGGTACCAAAAGATCTGAAGAAAAAAGAGGATTTGCTGGATGAAAGAGCACCAGTAGAAGGATAATAAAATGGAAAAGAAAAGAACACTTGAGTGGCTAGTAAAGGGTGTGGAACAGGAGTGGGGATAGTTCTAAAATCCTTTAGCATCTGTAATCACTCACCCATGAAGGATGGTGTGAACCATGAGCTAAAGATAAGCAGATTTTTATGTTACATAGACTTAATTTTCTTATGATAGTTTGCCTCACCTACTCCAGAAAAATAGCACAGCTTTGTTTAAGGAAAGAAATATAAGGCATACTAAACTTGGGGGGGTGGGGGGAACTTGGCAGTTAGAGAATTAGCAAATCAACTTTTTTTTTTTTTTGATGGTAGTACAGCTGGAGCTTTACCTAAAACTTCTAAAGTGTGAAACTAAAATATATTTTTTTATTTTTTACTGTTTGTACAGGGATATGGGATTAGAACTATTTAGGAACCATATTATAAGTGATAAAATGGTTCAGAGTAAAACTATTGATGGTATTCTTCTATTAATCGAACGAGAGAGAAATGGTGAAGCTGTGGATAGAAGTCTATTGCGAAGTCTACTGAGTATGCTTTCTGACCTTCAGGTAAATATCTTACTATGCTAAATGTCCTAATAATAATTTCCTACAGTTTATAAGGAAAAAAACTTGAATTCTTGCCTAACTCCTTACACCAAAATAAGTGGTGTTTCAAAGATTTAAATATAAAAACAAAATCTTGAAAATATGGAAGACGTTTTAATCACTGAGGGAACAACTCTCAACTCTAAACCAATAGCCATAAGAGGAAAGATTGATAAATAAGACTACGTAAAAATAGAAATTTCCTCAATGAAAAAATACCATAAACAAAGACCAGTCAGGTAAAAGACAAAGGTTTAAATTCTTTAATATATAGAAAGGTGCTGCAGACACAGACCCAATAATACTCCATAGAAAAATGTACAGATGACCTGAAGCAGCAGTTCTACAGAAAAGCATATGCACATAGATAGTGGGTCTGCCTCACTGTTCAACTGAATCTGTCTATAAAGTTTCAGTCAGCTTCTTAATACCGGGAACTGCAGAAGTATGGAGTGACAGCCCTCATGTATTAGGATGCATTAGCACTTTAAAATACGTGTTTCTTTTCTGTAATCAGTAAATGACTCCTCATTTCTTAGGTGTATAAAGATTCATTTGAACTGAAATTTTTGGAAGAAACTAATTGTTTATATGCTGCAGAAGGCCAAAGATTAATGCAAGAAAGAGAGGTGAGAGTGCATGGTTTTCTGAATTGCCTTATTTCATTTCTGTAGATGTGCATATAGGTGTCAGTTTCTAAATGTTTGTCTTTTCACACAGTTAAGAACATTTTATTGAAAATCTTCTGAAGGCTACAGTCTACTGAAATCTTACTTAATTTCTTTAACTTAAAAAACTATTGCTTCCAAAGTGGGAAGAGAGCTGTTGCATTGTGGGAAATTGCAGTCAATGTCATGAGAGAAAGTGTTTGTGAACTGGTATATTGAAAATTAATTTTCTCTGTAAACTTTCACCCAAATCACAATAAAAATTAAAAAGAAAAAATTATTGCCTTCCAATAAAAAGCCAATAAGATAGTTTCTGAAAGTGTGTAAAAACTCAAATTCAAGCAAGAGGATAGGAGATAAATACTAAATAGAAAGAAAAATTGAACACATCAAGTATTCTCATCTGTGAAAAGCATCCAAAAAAATTTCCTAAATAACGTGCTATAAACCAAAAAAAAATCTTAATGACCAATTTTCCGGGTATTAGAGCATAATCCTCCTAAGATAGACCATAAGAACTTATTACCCAGATATCTCTTGTTAATGCACAGGATGGACTCCAGCCATTAGTTCCATAATCCTAATTTTGGAGAGCAAGTTTTATGTCAGGTACTTGGCATGGCTCCAGCCAATCAGATTGGAACCTTTAAAGACCAATGCCATAGGAACTTTCTTGTGTTGTCAAGTGTATGTAAGTGAAATGTATTATGAGCTTTCCAGAGGCCACGTTGTGTGGTGTCTCCAAATGAAGACCCAACCTGTTGTTTATATTTTCTTGCTGATCCCAGCTGTTGGACAGGAGAGGAATTGCTGTTAAGCTTCTATATCCTCTAACCCAAGTGCGATTGCTCACATTCCTGTGGAACTCCATTGATGAAGGAACATTGTGGCATCAACCCAATTCTTATTAACAGCGTACAAGAATAAAATGCTACCTTTGTGTTAATTCTAGAGATTACTTTTAATTTCTAGAATTAAGTTGAAGGAAAAGTTCTACTGCATATTCCTTCTCTCTCACTCTGTTTTTCTCTCACTCATTCACACACACACACACTCCATTTTATACCCTACAACCCCCTCCCTTCCCAAATTAATCTTTATTAATATTTGTCTTGTACATGTATTTTGGGTTTGTGGGCAGGGATTGTTTAATTTTATAAGCAAAACCTAATTTTTGAGCTTGGTTATTTAAGAATCTTTGTTACTAAAGTGTCTAAATGTTTTGTTTGAAAGGTTCCAGAATATCTTAACCATGTAAGTAAACGTTTAGAAGAAGAAGGAGACCGAGTAATCACATATTTAGACCACAGTACACAGTAAGTACTACATGTTTATTTAGTTTTTGTTATTTTACTGGAGATAAAACCTTTTCCTAGCTCCTGAAATAAATAGGATCTTAGTAGATTAATTCAGTATTATCTAAAAGTATTTTTATTCCAGCATATATTATATATACTACTTGTATTATTCAGCTTTGTAAGTTATATTTTTACTAAGTGCTGTGTTACAAAATTTTGTCCAAAGAAAGTAATTCAGGCTGGAATCTTTGGGTTATTAGACAAAAGAAATTGTACTTACATTAAGGGATAAAATTGAATATTGGTTAATTTTGATTTTTAACTTTTTATGAGACACCTAGTAAAGCTCTAAATTTTGTTTATGATACTCAATCATATTATTTTCTCTTTTCATCTAATTATTTTTTTTCCTCTAAACCTGAGGTTGATATGTAGCTAGGATAATAGAAAAGGGAGAAATTATGTATTTGTGTTCTGGCCTAGAATATTTATTCAAACAATAAGAGGTAAGAGCAGAAGCAAAGGAGAAAAGAGAGATTAAAATGATAGAATATGCAAAACTTGTTGACTCATTGGTTTGATGGACGAAGGGGACAGACAAGATGAAATAAAGGGGCAAAATTATGACAGGAAAGAAAAGATGAAATTGCTTTAAAAAAAAAAAAAAAAAAAACTCACTGCTGTTGAGTTGGATCCGACTCATAGCGACCCCTCCTTGGATTTCCAAGACGGTATCACTATGGAAGTAGATTGCCCAATCTTCCCAGGAGTGGCTGGTGGCTTTGAACCGCCAGTCTTTGGTTAGCAATGAGATACTTTAGGCACTATGCCACAAAAGGCATATTGAATTTGATAAGCCTATGGGAACTCCAGATTCTCCAGATAAATGATGGTTGAGCTGAAGCCACAAGATTATTCAGAGATTATATGGGATATGCTTGACTGGGGAGTGGAAGAAGAGGAGGCCATGAGAGAGATTGAGAACAAATAACCAGAGATGGAAGAAGGAATATAGGAGAGAATAGAGTCATAAAAGTCAAATGAATGATATTTTAAGAAGAAAATGATAAGTAGTGGCAGATAATGCCAATAAGTAAGGATAAAGTCTTTGTTGGTTTTGATCGTGAGTAACCTTTATAGGAAAAAACCCATAGGCCCTAAATAACCTTTCTTAGATTTTCATTCCTGTAAAAAATTAATATTTGAAGATCTGCTGTATTTTTCTATGAATGTTATTTTTGGATAGTATTATTCTCTTTATATGTGTGAAATTCAAAAACAGGCCAAATTAGACAGTGTATACGTTCGAGATACAAGGAGAAACAAAGACCGAAGGTTTGAATTCTAAGGTGAAAAGATAATAACAGAAAATTTTCACAATCTTATCAAACCTGTGGGTCACGTGAGCCCTGTATTTTAGTAATAATTGTACCTTAGAGATGAACATAATGATCACCACTGATACCAGATTGAAGTGTTCAGCATGCTCTTTAGGGGTTCTAGAATCTGCTCTCAAATTTCTGTCTGCAATTCAGGAAACTGTCAGCAAGTGATAGTAATGCTGTATTATGGAGGGCAAAACTTAACATTCAAAAAATAAATAGAGCCTAAATGCCAACTACCAACAAAGTTCAAGGCAATCTACTTTTATTCAAAGATATGCTTGCCTTTCTGCTGGTGTCGTTTTCCACTGGAGCTGTTGATCCATTTGTATTACACAGTTTGCAAAGAGTAAATCATCTGATGCTTACTCTTTTTGCCTTTTATAGGAAACCACTAATTGCTTGTGTGGAGAAACAGCTCTTAGGAGAACATTTAACAGCAATTCTGCAGAAAGGTAAATTTTCCTAACTCTTGTATAAGTTAAACTGAATGATTGTTCTTAAATTGTTAGGAAACAAAGTGAAACATAGTATATAGCAATATAAGGACATTTGTTATTTTAATGAGATAATTAAAAAATCTTTTCTAATAATCATATTAGTCATTGAGAGAAAAAATCTTGAAAGAGTTTTAGTGAGGAAAATAGTGAAGTGTGTCTGCTAGAACTACAGTTTACTGCTAAAGTCACAATACTATCTAGGCTGAAAGATCCTAAGAGATCCTCTAGACTACAAATATACTTGGAAACCTAGATGCCAGGCTAAAGGGCCTTCTGCCACCCTGATTGTACAAATGGATTTCCAGCTTGAATACTTACAGTAATACTTGTTTTCCTTTATTTTATCATTTATCATGTAAACTCTGACAGTACAGATAATGATCAAAGAGCTTTTGCTAATATAAATAGGTATACTTATTCAAAGCTATCACATTTCTTTGAAAATTTATTTAACTGTGTTGAATACCCTTGTGAATGTACTATTAGTTGAGCTACCAAATATGTGGCCTCCTTAAGCATGAGTATACTTTTCTATCCCAATTATCTTTGAAAAACAAGCAAACAGAAAAGAGAATACATAATATTGATAATTGTACAGTTTTAACTTACACTTTACATTTGTTAATAATAATAGTAAAACTTTGTTAAAGACAAATTCAAACATTGGTGCTTTGGAACACCACTGAGACGCTTCTTATATCCCACACTTTCAAAGTTTACATTGATATGTTCAACTCGATCTACATCCTTTTTCAATTTAGTCTTCAAAATGCTCTTAATTCTCTTAAAATTGTAACGAGGATATTCTAACCTTTTGTAGCCCTTTAGTGCTTTAATGGCCCTTTCCAAAGCTGTTAGGTAATGTTACCATTTGGAAGTCATTTTAAATGTCTTTGAAAACTGGTAGAGCTCTAGTGATGCTGTGGTTAAAGCATTTGGCTGCTAACCAAAAGGTAGGCAGTTTGAATCCATCAGCCATTCTGCAATAGAAAGATGAGGCAATCTGCTTCTGTAAAGATTTATAGCCTTGGAAACCCTATTGGAGCAGTTCTACTCTGGCCTATAGGGCCGCTGTGAGTCAGAATTGACTTGACAGCAGTGGGTTTTTTTGGTTTTGGAAACTACAGGATCTTTTTTATGCTATTGGAAAATAAAAGGTTTAGTTTTGGGAGGGCTCTAAATAGTACCCAGATATATTCTGGTTTAGGTTCTACATTGGCAGATAATAGTATTATTGTCTCTAATGAATTATTTAAAATTGGGACATCTAAGTGAAACCTGAAAGAAGCCAAAAGGGAAGAGAATTAACATTATTGAGCATCTACTATTATAAAGTACTGTATTTCATGTTAATGTCTTTCAATCATAGAACAATCCTATGATACGATTAATCTTCATTTTAAAAATAAGAAAACTGAGGCTCAAGAAAGCTTGATATCAGTACCCCAAATCACATAGCTTATAAGTTGCAAAACCATGATTCAAATCTGGATATATTTTTTCTATTATTCCACACTGAAACTTATATATAAGTGATGTATTTTTACATAATTGAGATCTTCACTTACTGTCCACTATAAAAATAAATGCATTTAGAGTTTGTATTAGATTTTTTTAAAAACAGTCACTTTACAAAAAAATTTTCCAGAAAATAGTAGAAATTTGCATAAATTATTTTAACACATACTTTGATAAGTAAAGTTGTTTCAAGAAAATAGTAAATTATATATACGTAAAGGCTTATTCTAAATTATTTTACAGGCATTTAAAAAGTAAAAAGCTTTTAATTTTTTAAGAAGATATTTAGGATTTCAATAAGATAAATTACAAAATTAAAAGTTACTTGATATTTTACAGTAATAAAATTTAAAAAATTATTTACATAAGTAGATGAAAACATAATTTAGAGAAATACCTAGCATTTGGAGGTCTTGGTAAGGATTCATAATTATAATTATAATACCACCATGCATTTTAAAACTACCTGTGTTCATTTCCTAGTACTGCCATATCTATTACCATAAACTGGGTCACTTAACACAACAGAAATTAATTCTCTCACATTTCAGGAGGCCAGAAGTTGAAATGAAGGTGTTGGCAGGGTTTGTTCTTTCTGGAGGCTCTGAGGGAGAAACCATCCCCTGCCTTTCTCCTAATGGTTGCCAGCAATCCTTGGTATTTCTTGACTTATAGGCACATCACTCCATCTTCACATTGCCATCTTCTCTATGTATCTGTTTTCCTCTCTTTTTCTTACAATGACACTAGTCATTAGATGTAGGGCCTACCCAAATCCAGTATGACCTCATCTTAACTAATTATATCTATAAGGACCCTATTTCCAAATAAGGGTCATATTTTGAAGTTGCAAATAAACATGAACTTTTGGAGAACACTGATCAACTGACTATACCACCTGAAATGTATAGACATGATGCCCATTTTACAGAAAAGCCTGAAACTCTGTGAAGGAACATGACTAACTCACAGTTTTCCTACTCTAATTTAGCTGCCTTCCATTGTTATAATAAAGCAAATATTTAGAAAATCTTCTATAAAAGCTCTTCTGATTAAGGTATGGTTTTATAAAATCTTTGTAAAAATTTAAATACCTTTAACAGTAAAAACCTTAAAAATGCAGTGTTGAATATTTTACAATACCTGTTAAATAATAAATATTTCTCTCTCAGTTTATTATATATGTAAATAAAAGTAGGCATCATCTAAAATAAATAGATTTGATAGCTTGTGTTTTGACAGATGAGTTTTCTCACGGACTACATCAATTCTTAACCTAAGACTTATGATCCCCCCAGGTTAAATAATTGTATGAGTATTTTTCAGATTACTAAATGTTGCTTTGGAGCTCGGTAGCATAGTGCCTAAGGCACTTGACTGCTAGCCAGAAGGTTGGAGGTTCAAACCCACCAGCCACTCCTTGGAAGGAAGGTTGGGCAATCTACTTCCGTAGTGATACTGCCTTGGAAACCCAAGGAGGGGTCGCTATGAGTCGGGTCCAAATCAACAGCACATAACAACAACAACAAATGTTGCTTTAGCAAAATAAGAGAACTTTGTTGTTGTTGTTGTTATGTGCCGTCGAGTCGGCCCTGACTCATAACGACCCCTCCTTGGGTTTCCGAGGCAGTATCACTACGGAAGTAGGATTGCCCAACCTTCCTTCCGAGGAGTGGCTGGTGGGTTTGAACCGCCAGCCGTCTGGTTAGCAGGCAAGTGTCTTAGCCACTATGCTACCAGACTTTAGTGATATGAAAAAGTAAATAAATCTCCCAACATGCTCAGGAAATGAGATTCACCTAATAGCATCTATCTCAGATAGAGAACTACACCAACTTTCCTGTATAGAAATAATGAAGTGTTGTACATACTCTCTAAATTTCTAAATTATATATTAACCAGTTTTTGAAGCATATTCTTGTTTAGTTTTTATTAATGTTGATTTACTGATGTAATATGTTAACATTTACAATATGATTTTAGGGCTTGATCACTTACTTGATGAGAATAGAGTACCTGATCTTACACAGATGTACCAGTTGTTCAGTCGGGTAAAAGGTGGTCAGCAGATACTACTGCAACACTGGAGTGAATACATCAAGGTATTTCAGAATTTTGTCTTAGAGATAATTCTACTTGTACTTTATACAAGGGGAATGGTTGTCCTATCTTTAAAATACTTTAGTACCCTGGCAAAGGAATTAAACTATTTTGAAGTAACTTTTGTTCTTTGATCACAGATAAAAAAGAGAATAATAGTCTTCCTTTTTCTGCTGTATCACCTTTAAATATTTAAGTTTTGGTTTTTTTCTTTTAAATAACAAAAACAGTGATGAATAACATCCTGGTATGTGACGTAAAGAACTACTATTTGGACATTTGTCATCAACATGAACACTGGTTTAATTCCACCATCATGATTTTCAGAAACTAGTGGTTTTTTCCTAATCTGCTTCCCCCCCACACACACTTCAATCCCTTTTAGGACAAATATATTGAATTTTTTTTTTCTTTTTGTTTTCCTTCAATCAAGTTAATATGTGACCCTCTAGTTAGTGGTTTACCCTCCCTTCCCCACCCACCCCATCAGAGAATATTTCTTTTTTTGTGAAACCTTTTTCTTAATTTTTTACAATAGTGGTCTCATATAATATTTGTCTTTTTATGATTGACTAACTTCACTGACCATGATAGCCTCTAAGTTCATCTGTGTTGTGAGATGTTTCACAGATTGATCATTGTTGTTTAACATTTTGTAGTATTCCATTATGTGAATGTACCATAGTTTTTTGATCCATTCCTCCATTGATGAGCATTTAGGTTCTTTCCATCTTATTTGTTATTTGAATAGTGCTGTGGTGAACATGGGTGTGCATGTACCTATTTGTGTCACAGCTCTTATTTCTCTAGAATATATACATAGTAGTAAGATTGCTGGAGCATGTGGTATTTCTATTGCCAGCATTTTATGAAAGCACCATAACATTTTCCACAGTGGTTATACTATTTTACAGTCCCACTAACAGTATATAAGGGTTCTAGTCTCTCCACACCCTTGCCAGCTTTTGTGGTTGTTTCTTTTGAACTTTCCTTTGAGTGCTGGGGTGAGATGATACCTCATTGTTGTTTTGATTTGCATCTCTCTAATGGCTTAAGATTGCAGGCATTTCTTCATCTATTTGTTCACTGCCTGAATGTCTTCTTTGGTGAAGTGTGAAATGTCTCTTACATCCTTTGCCCATTTTTTAATTGGATTATTTGTTGTTAAATTGTTAAAATTTTCTGTAAATTTTAAGAGGATTAGTCTCTTGTTCAATATGTCCTTGCCAAAAATTTTTCCCCAGTGTGTGGGATCTCTTTTTACTCTTTTGGTAAAATCTTTTGATGCATGTAAGTGTCTAATTTTTAGGAGGTCCCAGTCATCTGTTTTGTCTTCTGGTGTTTGTACATTTTTAGTTATATTCAATAATGTATTTATGCCCTGAATTAAAGCCCTTAAGTTTATCCCTATTTTTTCTTTGATGGTCTTTATGGTTTTAGGTTTTATATTCAGGGCTTTGGTCTAAATTGAGTTCATTTTTGTATGTGGTGTGAAATATGGGTCCTGTTTCATTTTTCTACAAATGGATATCAAATTTTGCCTGCACCATTTATTTAAGAGACTATCTCTTTCCCATTTAATGAGTTTTGGCCCTTTGTCAAAGATTAGCTGTCCATAGGTAGATGGATTTACTGCTGGGTTCTCAATTCTGTTCCATTGGCAATGTGTCTGTCATTGTTCCAGTACCAGGCTGTTTTAATTATTGTAGCTGTGTAGTGAGTGGGTTTTGAGATTGGGGAGTCTGAGGCCTCCTACTTTGTTCTTCTTCTTTAGTGCTTTACTTATCTGGAGTCTCTTTCCTTTCCATATAAAGTTGGTGGTAGTTTCTCCATCTCTTTAAAAAAGATGATGGACTCTGTATCAAGATTGCATTATATCTGTAGATCACTTTGGGTGTGTGTCAACTTAGCTAGGCCTAGTTGAGTGGCTGGAAAGCTGGATGTAGTAAGCCCCATGATGAGACTGGTAATCAACTCCATGGTGGAATCTAATGTGAGCAGCTGAGTAAGCTGTCTTAGGGATATGGTCTGCTTCTTGTATATAAGGAGAACGCTTGGGGAATGGTCTCTAGCATATGGCATGCTTGAACCCTGCATGTAGCCATGTCATTGTTCAGCAGCCTGCTATGCTCTGCTGACCTTGGGACTTCCAATGGACTTGAATTAATGGCCTGCCATGTGGTTTAATAACATTGGGACTGTGCCTTATTACTTGTCAACCTTGGGCTTGTCAGTCAGCAGGCAGTAGCTGTCTGAGTGAAGAAAAGCCTCCAACTTCAGTGGGGCAGGAGGCAGAGCTAAAGCCTAAGGTTGAGGGGCTTTTATTTAGCCTCTAGAGCCTGGCACTTTGAACTTGGACTTAAAGCCTCCAAATTGTAAGAATAACTGTTTGTTAAAGCTGTACCGTTGTGGTGTATTCTTACCAGAGCGGTACCAGGTAACCAAAACAGAGTATGGTACCAAGGGAGTGTAGGGTACTGCTCTGACGGATACCTAAAATGTGGAAACAGGAGTGGAGTACATCCTTGACCCAAGACTCTGGCAGAGAAACCCCGGCATGAGAGATGGCAACAGCAGAGCTCAGAGACTGGCAGAGAGACCAGCATGAGAGACAGTAGTAGCAAAGCCCAGAGACTGGCATTAAACAGTAACAGGCTTACCAGCCTACAGGCGACAAAGCCAGGTGGCCACTGGGTAGGTAGGAGGAGTGAATTGCTTTTGGGCATTAATTGGTAGAAGAAACCAGCAAGAAATGGAGTAGCAGGTTGGCCAGCCCACTGAGCAAGAAAGCTAACTGTCTTTTGGGCAGGAAGATTCCTGGCGGAGTGGGTTGTTCTTGGGCATTAATTGGCAGAAGTGCAGAGACCAAGAAAACAGGAAGCCGAGCTGCCTCAGCCTCAAGGGCAGGACAATGGCCTTTGGAGGTGGAACCACCACAGCCCCCTAGGTTTCAAAGAGCCAGACCTTCACCAGCTTGGTTCTGGAGTGTGGGGCTGCTCATTCATGTGAGCTAGTGATATGGAGTTAAGCCACTGCCCAAGAGCGAGAGGCAGGGCTGCCATGCCCAAGAGGGAAAGGAACTAGGCCCGCCAGGCTAAAGGGGGTAAGGTTGCCACTCAGGAACTAGAGGACTGGAGTTGGAGTCACCCAGTGAAGGAGATCTGTACAGATACCACCCGTTGAAGATCTGTACAGGTGCCAAGTTGACAAGGGGTGGAATTGTGGTGGTTAAGTTTGTGTGTCATCTTGGCTAGGCCTGGTTGAGTGACTGGGCAGCTGGTGCTAGTTATTCCCCATGATGAGACTGACAATCAGCTCCATGGTGGGAACTACCACAAGCAGCTAAGTAGCTGCTTTACGGATGTGGTCTGCTTCCCGTATATAAGAAACAGTTTTGGGAATGGTCTCTAGCTTATGGCACGCTTGAACCCTGCATGTAGCCGTGTTGTTGTTCAGTAGATTGCCATGCTCTGCCAACCTTGGGAGTTTCAATGGACTTGAATTAAATGGTCTGCCATATGGTTTGGTAACATCAGGACTGTGCCATTTTATTTGCCAACCCTTAAGCTTGTTAGCCTCAGCAGCCAGTAGCTGCCTGAGTGAAAAGATGCCTCTAGCTTTAGTGGGCCGAGAGCAAGAGGCAGAGCTGAAGCCCAAGTTCGAGGGGCTTTCATACAGCCTCTGGTGCCTGGCACTTTGAACTCAGACTTCTAGCCTCCTAAACTGTAAGAGAATAAACTCCTGTTTAAGCCGTCCCACTTGTGGTATATTTCTGTCAGAGCAGCACTGTTGTGGTGGTGGTGGTGGTGTGCCGTTGAGTCGGACCCGACTCATAGCGACCCCTCCTTGGGTTTCCGAGTATCACTACGGAAGTAGATTGCCCCATCTTTTCTCCGAGGAGTGCCTGGTGAGTACCAGAACAGGTATTAATGAGATTTTCATGATGTTAAGTCTTCCTGTCCATGAGCATGGTATAAAACCAAACCAAATCCATTGCCATAGAGTCAATTCCAACTCATACTGACCCTTTAGAGCACAGTAGAATGTCCCATAGAGTTTCTAAGGCTATAAATCTTTACTGACGCAGACTATCTGATCTTTCTCTTAGAGAGTAGTTGGTGGGTTTGAGTCACTGAACTTTCAGTTAGCAGCTGAATGCCCTAACAACTATGCCACCAGAGCTCCTGAGCATGCTATAAACAAACAAAAAACAAGCAAACTCACTGACTTCGACTCCAACTCATAGTGACCTCCTTGGGTTTCCGAGACGGTATCTGTACAGAAGTAGATTGCTCAGTCTTCGTTCTGAGGAGTGGCTAGTGGGTTTGAACTGCCAGCCTTCTGATATAGTCTTCCATTTATATAAGTCTCTTTTAGGTTCTTGTAAATAGTATTTTGTGGTTTTCTTTGTATAGGTCTTTTCTGTCTCTGGTTAAACTAGTCTGCTTTTTAAACATAAGATCATCTCTTGTTTTTGCTAAGGGAGAACTCTTAGACATTTTTATGTATTAGATTGGTCAGTATACTGCTGTATTACCTAGCAGTCTATATATAGATACACCGAAAAAACCAAACTCACGGTCGTTGCGTCGATTCAACTCATAGTGGGTCTCCTTGGTTTCTGAGACAGTATCTCTACGGAAGTAGATTGCCCAGTCTTCCTTCTGAGGAGTGCTGTGGGTTTGAACTGCTGGCCTTCTGGTTAGCAGTCAGATGCGTTAGGCACTATGCCATCAGAGCTCCTATATGGAGATATAGGGTATATTATTTAAGCTTAAGTTTTCATGTTTTTAAAGCCTTTGTTTTCTATATACATAGCATGTCCAATTCAGCCCATAATACAGAGGCTTCTTGGGTATTGTCTTTCAGTTTTCATGTGTTATGCCCAGCAGAATTGCAGGGCAGTGAGCACTACCACAGTGCTAATACAGGATCATACTGATGACTAGTGATTCTCAACCAGAGGCAGTCCTGAACTAACCCCCTCATTGGGACATTTGGCAATGACTGAAGATTTTTTTGGTTGTCAAACCTGAGAGGGTGCAACTGACAAATGTGGGTAGAAGCCTAGGATACTGCTGCAATGCACAGGACAACCACCAATGACAAAGAATTATCTGGCCCAAAGTGTCAATAGTGCCAAGATTGAGAAACTTTGCTGATGACCCTGTTTTACCATTTAATGATAAGTCATTCTCTAGATAATACTGATGAAAAAGGGAAGAAGTATATCTTACATCACCATCCTTTATAAATAGCTAGTGTTTTCAGTCACTTAGGAAAAATTTTTCACTAACAAAAACCTTTGTGTTTTTGTTTCCTGGTGATTATATTCTTAAAGTCTACAGTAAAAAGGAGGAACCCTTGTGACACAGTGGTTAAAGCACTCAGCTGCTAACCAGCAGCTCTGCAGGATAAAGATATAGCAGTCTGCTCCCACAAAAAGATTACAGCCCAGAAGACCTTGTGGGACAGTTCTGCTCTATCCTGTAGAGTCACTGTGAGTCAGAGTCAATTCAGTGACACATAATAACAACTACAGAATTAAAAGATAAACCAAACCTCCAGGAAATTATGCTGAGAGAAAAAATAAAGCCAATCCCAAAATGTTACATACTGTATGATACCATTTATACAACATTTTTGAAATGATAAAATTTAGAAATGGAGGAGAGATTAATAGTTAACCAGGGATTAGGGATAGGTGAAGGGAAGAGTGGTAGGTGTGGTTATAAGAAAGGAAAAAAGGGATACCCTTGTGGTATTGGAACTGTTCAGTATCTTAACCTTGATGGTGGGTACATGAACGCACACAGGTGATAAAATTGTAAAAAAAATCCCACTGCCATCATGTCAGATCCATCTCGACATAGCCTCCTTGGGTTTCCAAGGTGGTATCACTACGGAAGTAGATTGCCCAACCTTCCTTTTGAGGAGTGGCTGGTGGGTTTGAACCACCAGCTTTCTGGTTAGCAGTCAAATGCCTTAGGCATTATGCCACCAGAGCTCCCATAAAATTGTATGGAACTTACACATGCGAATGAGTACAAGTGAAACTCGGGCAATCTGAATAAGTTTAGTAGATAATCTCAATGTCAATATACTGTTTACAAATTGTACTATAGTTTTGCAAAATGCTAGCATTGGAGGAAGGAAAATGGACAAAGTGTACAAGAGATCTCTGTATTGTTTCCAAGACTGTAGATGAATTTATAATTATCTCAATACAAGTTTCAATTAAATAAAAGACAGTGAAAGACTGCATGTTGCTTTATGAAATAATCAGGCTTGAGATCTATATGTGGAAAGCCTAAGCATACGCACCCCAAGATTTTATATGATCATAGTGAGTTGAAAGTCATAACTGAGTTATGCTATATCAGCAATAAAGCTTTACTTTAAAGAAAAGCTAATGAAAATTTAGAAGTTTTTTTTGCCATTGGGATATTCTTTAGGAGCTCTGGTAGCATAGTGGCTAAGGCACTTGACTGCTAACCAGAAGGCTGGCGGTTCAAATCCACCAGCCACTCCTCGGAAGGAAGGTTGGGCAATCCTACTTCCATAGTGATACTGCCTCGGAAACCCAAAGAGGGGTCGCTATGAGTCGGGGCCGACTCGACGGCAAATAACAACAACAACAACAAACACAAGGAGAAGTACACTTTGAAGTTTTCAACCTGTGTAGCAAAAATCAAAGGTGGATTATGACTAACACTCCTGCGTATCAACAGAGCAGGTCATCATCAAAATAAAACTGATCCTTCTAATTTCAAAATAACATGAGAAACTAATTAGTTGAGCATGACATTAAATCAGTAAAACAAAATATGTATTTTTTTTTTTTTTTTTTTTAATAACGCAAAACCCAACCCACTGCCGTGGAGTCAGATCCAACTCATAGCAACCCAAATTCTAATAATAATTGTATTCAACACCTCTTCACCTTGTGATTTGCATCATCAAACAATTAACTCTTGTTGCCACACGTAATCATGTAGTAATGTTTAATAAAATGTTTATAAATAAAAAATAGAGGGTAAAACCTGGGGCTGCTCATGATTAGATAGGAAGGAGAAAGAAAACTAGAGTCAGGAGGTTAAAATAGGTACAAGGTAGGCACCTTCTCAGTATGTATCAAATAGGAATCTTGCTGTTTGAGGGCAAAGTAAGTATGACCTAGTTCATTGTTTACTGAAGAATATTCTGTAAAACACTATGCAAGTAGGATGGCCTGTCATCATCACATATACCAATATGTTCATGCAGAGATTCACAGGGCATATTCATAAAATAAGGCTTTTCCTACAGTTAAGAATATGCATATCTTGTATCATTCTTAATATTTTAAAAAATGTACTTGACCACTTAACTCCTCTGTCATGACACACTTACTAGTTTGTATTAATGAGTAAAAATTTTAAAAAAGCAATGGTCATTTTCCCAGTAACATAAATTCTTCCAGAAACAGCATCATAGCACTAAAGCCTTAGTTATATATTTGCTTAACAATTTTTAAAATGTAAACTAAATTTGTATAAATTATAAAACTTTTATTTGATAGCAGGAGAAATAATTTTTGGTATCACAAATTTGTTGATGACTTTCTATTTATTTGTTTTTATAGACTTTTGGAACAACGATAGTTATCAATCCTGAAAAAGATAAAGATATGGTGCAAGACCTGCTAGATTTTAAGGATAAAGTGGACCACATCATAGAAGTGTGCTTTCAGAAAAATGAAAAATTTATCAACTTGATGAAGGAATCCTTTGAAACATTTATCAACAAGAGACCAAATAAGCCTGCAGAATTGATCGGTAGAAAAAAAAATTATAATTTTTTATGGAAAAATAAGGCAAAACTCAAGCCTATTTATGGGACTGAACGTTCCCAAAATGTTCGAGCTCTTCATGGGAGGGGAGGGGGTAAGATTTACATCAAACCTGATCAGGGCACACATTTCCAAAGAAAGCCATAAAAACACCCATGTGTATTTTTAAATATAAATCTATGGTATTTACATGAGAGTAAATATAGTAGTAATCTTGTAAAGAAATGAAGTTTCTCTTCACAAAAGAATGAAGGTACAGTAAAAGTTTATTCTATGTATCTGTCCTTTTCTTAGAGAATAAACTTGAATTTACTGGACCAGCAGCTTCAGAGCTATATGTTGTAAAGATCAATTATAATTCTCCATCTTGATTATAAGCAGTTAATTTTTATGCAGAAATTGGATTGAGAAGGTTTGTTATGAATGAATGCCTCTGAATTACAAGGGTAATTACCAGTCTCTGGATATTTAAAATGAGATACTATTTAATCATCATCTGTGAGTCCTCTAATTAATGTTAAAATAGGATAAAACTGAATGAGATCTCAAAAGTAGCATTTTTTCAGTTACACAAAAGTTTTTTTTTTAATTTTTTATTGTGATGTGGGTGCATACTTACAAAGCAGATTGTTTTACTCACAACAGTTTATGCACATTTGGTTTCACTACCACGATTACAATCCTCAGCCATAAAAACCTCTCCTCCCATCTCTTCCCTGTGACTGTCCTTCCCTTCCCTGTGCCCTTCTTATCTATGCATTCCTGTCTTTGCCACAATGTGAATGCTGCCCTTCTGATATCTCATGGCCAATTGATCTAGGGGGTGCATCTCCCTGGGGTAGGTGTTCTGCTTGTAGGTCTTTCTGTTTGGCTGAGAGCTAATCCACAGACGTGAGTATAGTTCCAGGCCTGAAAGATAACCTAGGGCCACAGTCTCCAGGGTTCCACCAATTTCTGTCCAACCAGTAATTCTGGGTTTTTTTGTTTTTTGTTTTTTGTTTTTTTAATTGTGATTTGGGTGAAAGTTTACAGAACAAATTCATTATCCATACAGCAGTTCACATACACTTTGTCTCATGACTGTAGTTTCCCACAAGGCAACAGCTCTCTTCCTACTTCCTCCCCAAAGTTACCTCTTCCCATTGACTGTCCCTCTCATGCATGTCTCCCCCCCCCCAGGTTGCCTCCCTGTGCATACATAACCCTTCTATTCTCCCATGATTGATCTCGCCAAGGAGTGTATCTACCTAATGTAAATGTTCACCTCGTGTGTCTGTCTTTTGTTTGGCTAGAAGCCACAGGAGTAGGTTCAATTCTGGATCTGTAGGGCAGCTAGGGGCCATAATCTCAGGGATTCCACTAGGTTCTGTCAGACCAGCACACTGACTTCTGGTCATTTTTGAGTTCTTGAATTTTGTTCCATATTGTTCTCCCACTCTATCCAGGATCTCCAATTTTGATCCCTTTCTGAGTGGTTGGCATTGATAGCCAGGCACCATCTAGTTCTCCAGATAATACTTTTTAACTCCTGAGGGAAAGAAGGCAACCTAGAAAATTCATAAATCCATTGAAAAATAATAAGATGAAAAGTTTTTAAATTATTACTTTATATAATTATTTCATGATAATAGCATTTCAAGATTCATAGAATTTCACTAGTCAGATACTTTACAAATTTACAGAAGACTAAGGACAGTGAGAGGTGTAAGTGATACAAGATTGGATATATATTGGTTATTAATGAAGGTGTAAAATGAGAACATGGAGTTTATCATACATATATCTACTTTTATATATATTCAGAATTTTCCATAATAGAAAAATACTAATAAAAGCAACAAGGAAAATTCAGATTCATAAGGCAATTTAATTTGACTGTTACGTGACTTTTTCAATTGTGATTTCTCCAAAAGAAGCCTAATGTTTAGCACTTGGGAATTTGGGCTTCTCAACGTCTTAGGTTCTATAAATACATTGAGACTTTCATTCTCCCTTCCTTAAACCACTACTCATAGTTGATTTAAGAAGTCTGAGAAACAAGAAGCTATAAACAACAACAATAAAAACCTCACAGCTGTGGGGTCGAACCCGAGTCATAGCGACCCCTCCTTGGGTTTCCAAGGTGGTATTTCTACAGAAGTAGATTGCCCAACCTTCCTTCTGAGGGCTGGCTGGTGGGTTTGAACTGCCAGCCTTCTGGTTAGCAGTCAAATGCCTTAGGCACTATGCTACCAGAGCTCCTACGAGAAGCTATTAAGTAAAGTTATTATCACTCTATATTCAGTGATAAGACAGTGTCACCTTGAATTTAACTACTTGAAACCCTGAGAAAAACTCTTTTCTCTTTGAGAAAATCTTGTCCTAGTTTATTATACCACATCTTAAAGAGAGAGAGTATTCCAGTATCAGGAACAATAATGTAACATGAAACCCAAGCATGTAATTATTGAAATCAAGTATTTTTTTACTCTGAAATCAGAGAAGTTACTTGAGCTGACTAAAAATTCAATCTTTGGCTATGTTGAAGTTTTAGAAAGTATTGATTCTCACATGATTTGTAAGTAACTATATTAGAAAATAAGATACTTCCCTCTTTTATAATAAAATAATAGCATTTTGGAAAGGTTCCTGGATGCTACTTGTCAATTGGTGCTTGTAGAAATTAAGGATATTCTTTTTTCTGATTTAGAAAATGGATTATATAATGACTGCTTGTTTTTTAAAATAATTTAAACTCTTAATCTCACAGCAAAGCATGTTGATTCAAAGTTGAGAGCTGGCAATAAAGAAGCAACAGATGAAGAACTAGAGAGAATCCTTGACAAAATTATGATAATATTCAGGTTTATTCATGGTAAGAAATATTATAAATTATTTTACTAACATTAAACCAAACCAAACCAAACTCACTCTGCCATCCAGTTGGATCCGACTCATAGCGACCCCTCCTTGGGTTTCCAAGGCAGTAACTCTGTGGAAGTAGATTGCCCCATCTTCCTTCCGAGGAGTGGCTAATGGGTTTGAACTACCAGCCTTCTGGTTAGCAGTCAAATGCCTTAGGCACTACTGTACCAGAGCTCCTGTACTAACAGTAGGTCATATAATCAAAGTATCTATATTTGGGCCCCATTTTTTCATGACTAAATTGACAGAAACATTTTCCATTTTTATGTTAATACAAAAAAAAAAAGTGAAAGGGCCACTGATTGAATTGAAAGTTTTCTTCTGTGAAACTTAGGAATTTCATTATCATTAAAGCTGACATGCATTAAAATAAAAATGATAATTTGCAATTTTTAGGGGTTTCAGCAGTTGAATTATAACATTTGCATATTGACTGTCTAATATTTTATGCAATTCTTATTTGATTATAAATAGGTAAAGATGTATTTGAAGCATTTTATAAGAAAGATTTGGCAAAAAGACTCCTTGTTGGGAAAAGTGCTTCTGTGGATGCTGAAAAATCTATGTTGTCAAAACTAAAACATGGTAAGCATATGTAAACCTGGGATTTTTCCCCTCTACCTTTAGAGAATGCATTGCTGTGATAACGTGTTGCTTCTGGTATAAAAACAGCTTTACTTTTGTAACAGAATGTGGTGCTGCTTTTACCAGCAAACTTGAAGGCATGTTCAAGGACATGGAACTTTCAAAAGACATCATGGTTCATTTTAAGCAGGTGAGTTTGTTTTTTTTCAAGTAAAACAGCTTTTTAAAATTTTTAAGTTATGTAAAACAAAATTCTCATCCTTAAAAATTACTCTTAATGTTTTACATATTCAAATATCATAAATTCAAAAGGAAAAAGAAAAGGAACCCCAAAAAAATGACAATGAAACTTACTTCAATGAATCTAATATTATGTTGATGATAGTGCTATACTAAGAGAAGAAAAAAGATTTTCAGATGAAGTAGGACACATTATTTGGCTTTTTATCTTCAGTGGAATATTTTCTAAGGACTAAAATTAATGCAAAAAAATATTAGGGTGTTTTTTAAATTGTATCATTTTTTAGTCATTGTTTTTGATGACTTTCTAAACTACTTTTATGTTGGATATATCTCTGTTTGTTTTTAGTATATGCAGAATCAAAGTGATCCGGGCTCTATAGATCTAACAGTAAACATACTTACAATGGGATACTGGCCAACATATACACCTATGGAAGTACATTTAACTCCAGAAGTAAGTGTGTTAAAGAAAATGCTGTTGTTTATTTTTAATAGACAAGTGTTGCCAAAGTTGTGTAAACTTTCCATTGTTATACCTATGCCATGGACAAATATGCTGTCTCTCAAGAAGTATTTAATGAGAGTATTTCTTTTTTTTTTTTTAATTTTTATTTTTATTGTGATTTGGGTGAAAATTTACAGAGCAAATACACTTTCCATACAGCAGATCACATACACTTTTGTCTCATGACATTGACCACAATTTAGCACAATGCAACATCTCCTCTCCCACTTCCTCCCAATGGGTACCGCTTCCCTGTGACCATCCCTCCATGCACTCCTACCCCCTGAGCTGTCTCCCTGTGCCTGAGCAGCCCTTCTTTCTCTCTCGCTTGTTCTCTCCA